GAACTTCCCCCTGACATCCAACCTAAATCTTCCCTCCCTCAATTTAAAACCATTTCCCCTGTTTTCATTCAGAACAGTGGTCCTGTACTGTTTTTTTTTTTTTGTTGTTTGTTTGTTTTTTTTTTTTTTTTTTTATCATGCTAACTAGATTTCTTTTGGTCAGAAATTGGAGATAAGAAAGATGGAGCAACCAAGGTGTCACACCAGCAAAAGCAGTCCTAAACTGGAATTCCTCTATGGTAGCAAATTTTTGGAAATGCTTCACAGCTGTATGTAAACCACATGTACAGTGAAGTAAGATAATGCTGTTCAAGGAATGTTGTGGATATATCTTGTTCTGGAATCAGGTCCTAGATTTTTGGTTTCTAAGCTTAAAGCCAGTCTAATATAAATATTTAATAGGTAGCTCATTCTTAATTCATTTGCATGCTTGCCGTGAACCAGAGTGATACATAAATGATAACTGAGATTCACTGGACTGTTTGTGGTCCTGGTCTCAGACTGCTGGGCAGAGTACAAAGATTTTTCTGCCTTTGACTTGCATTGGATTATATCCTGAATAGGGTTAGGTAGAATGAAGACATCTGTGGATCTTATTCTCATTTATACCCATCCCAAAGTAGCAACAGATCATGTCATTATTCCAATTTTTTTTTTTTTTTTAAAGGTAAAAATGCTCAGATATTTTAAACTACTTTGTATCTTAAAATGCTGTTGCTTTGTGGTACAATTACAGGTCTAAGTGACTGCAGCTCTGAAAACCCAGTGATATATTCACAGCAAGGACGCAGATAAAGTACTACGTTTTGGCCTTGAACACTCTCATCCTCTGTTAATCAACTGCAATTCTGAATTGGGAGTGAATGGGGAGGAAGGGGAATGGAAGGACTTCACTGGGTCAGAAGAGGATGAGATCATGTGAGAAGTTGGCTTATGTTGTCTGTGTCATTATCTGCATATTGTCTAATAGCAGAAATGTTACATTAAGCTTTTCCTGTAAGCAGCAAATGCAACGTAAGAAACAGTGACAATGAAATGATTTCATTTATGGTTATGGTCTTGTAAACTCTCATTTCATTTCCGGGTTAGATTTGCTTTAATTGCTCGTACTGATTCCGTTCACAGCCTTTTGGGTTATACTGATGTTAAAATACCAGGAGATACTGGTTTTGACGAAGATAAATATATTCTGATTGTTGTGATAGGATTAAAATGGGCTGGCTGGTCCTGTTGCTCCCTGCAGCCACAAGATCCAATGTTCTGATGGATGTTGCCACCCACACAGCAATGAATTGGAGCTGCTCATATGTCAGCTCCTAAACCACAGCAGCTTTCAGTCTGCATAACAACCAACCAGATGTCTGAGAGTGGTAGCAGACAATCTCCAAGTGTTTAAAGCTGGAGTATGTGTGATGATAGACTCTACAGAATGGCAGATGCTGCCTATAGGATACGTGGTGCTGAACCCCTGCAACCATGCTGAAGTATTAAGTCCAAGGTAGTGTATCCATCCCAATTGTCAGTGCTCCGGGAGAGAAGGCACGCACATTGGCTTGGCCAAGTGACCCTCATGTGTGTACCTGACTGTGTGAGCAGGGCAGCTCCTAGCCAAACCAAAGTGGCTGTGTAACAACTTTGGGCAGTGTGACTCTGTGTGGTGATCTCAACCAAAGTCATCTTCATCGGTGATTCTTTACAAGCGTAGGACAAATGAGAGAATGATGTCTTGAGTTACTTGTTTCAGCAGCCCTTGCTTCTCACTACTGGTGTGTGCTCAGCAGGATGCTGTAAAGATATGTAGAGGAGACTCTCAGCCTGTTGGCAATACAACTCACACCTGTCTACACTGCCAGATTTTTCTCCCCATCAGGGGGTATTTTACTGACCAGCTAATTTTTCACCAGTGGCCAATAAATGAGCCTCATAGCACAATAAATTAGCAGTTTATTTAGCTAGCATTTATTTGCTTTTTCCTTTGTTGGTTTTTTTTTTTTTTTTTTTTTTTCTGTGCTGAGGTTTAAGGAGAATTAATTGAGGCCAGTCCAAAGCATATTTGGCATTTTATTCCTACTCAGTTAACTTTGACAGCCCATGTATGACTAAGATAATATGTATTTGGTGTGGGACTGCTTTCCTAGGAGGATGCGATGTGTTTTTAATTATCAAAGAGCTTTCTCATCACAGAATGCTGTTTCCAAAGACATTTCTCTTTCTTTTATGGTTATTTATGGTCTTTACTGCTTGAGTTTGTTTCCACCTTAGAAAAATGAAAAAGAATCAAAATTCTCTTGATCTAAATCTTTTATTTGTGCTGGACTGAAAAAGTATTGAATAGGTAATATGACGGTCAGTACCTGACAGATGTAACATCACTTTCTAATGCCCTCTACTCAGTATTTCTTAATGTAGAAGACTACAACAGAAGGGAAAACAAACAAACAAAAAGCCCCATGACTTTGGTTTACATTCTATTCTTGATAAAGAAAATGAAAAGTAGAATTGTCACAGGTGAACTGAGATTACATCCTGCAGCTACAGAGATTGTAAAGAGAATTTAAAGAAACCTTTAAAAAGAGTCTCATATAGTACTATCAATTCTTATATAAAATAATTTATGATTTTAAATACTGTTTAAATAATTTATCTGTATTTAAAACTAACCTTTTAAAATTGTTTGGAACATTTTTGGCATGAATGCTTAAATAGTTGTTTTTAAATATTAAAAAGTTTTTAAAATATTCAATACAATTCAATATAAAAACAGAAAAGGTAATATACATTGTTCACACAGTACTGTACATGACAGCTGACCTCTGGAGCGAGCTTTTCAATGTGTCAGACAAGTCAGAGCTTAGCTGTGGTGAACCACTTGCTTATCCTATTTTTCTGGACTCTTAAAATGGTAACAGATCCTTATATGTCTATAATATTACATACACATACTGTATACAGCATTTATTCCCATCTCTATGTCCAGAACTATAAGTATTTCCTCAGCATTTAGATCAAAATACTGTTCAGTGCACACACAAATATTTGACACACAAGAAAAATACCGATTTTGCTCAGCTCAGTTACATGACAAATTAACTCATAGGTGCAAAATAAGACTGTCACTGTTGTATTTGAGGTTTATAACCATGCTCTTACCAAATGTTTATGGGTTGCATTGATGGTGGGAAAACTAGAATTCACTTTTCTCATCGGTGCATCTTCATTACTCCTTCCAATGTTAAAGGCAGTGGGGTAGGCGTGATGCTGGTGTCTTACAAGTACTTTGTCTAACACCTGGTATTTGCTGACAGTGTGATTCCAGAAGTACAAACTTAGGCAGGAATTAGAACAAAGCTCAGTCACCTGTCTGCAATTTTTAAGTGCAGATGCATTCTGCTCTTAATAAACAAGCTTACTGTCAGTTCACAAATCACTTTCTTCCTTCTCCCTTAAAGAACTCCTGTACTTAGCAAGATCACTCCTACAGAAGTTGTAAATGGACTCCAGTGGAAAGAGGGTGATCCTCCTGCCTGCTGTGTAATGTGTGTCAGATGGTATGTGCTGCAATAGTTGCATCCCATTGCACGCGTCCACACACATCTTTTCTTTTTGAAACATTCTTATCTAACAAGACCCCAGAGCTTTAAAAAAAAGACTGAATGGAACATTCTACATAGTTACTTACAAAAGGAAAAATACCGATGCTAGCCAACATTTGTATCAGGAAGCTTGTTCTAGAAATGTTGCTCAGCAGAGCAGTATGTGACACCCTGTGTCATTCACTAAGGAACAAAACTCATTTCGGAGACTGGGCTCATATTTTCCTATTTATATCAATCTACAAACTAGAAATCACAGCAGGAATTATTGTGTGGCTAATTCTTAATAATTGTTCCTGAAAAAAATAAGTTCTTCACACAAGAATTTCAAAGTTTCAAGACAGGATTCCAAGGATTCAAATGCTTTACTCAGGTCTTTGCAGTATGAGATTCATGAATTCTTTCATGAAGACAGAATTCATAAACCATGAGAAATATCCTGCTACTTTTCACTTCTCCTGCCCTTTTATATGGCATGACGGGGCTTCAGCTACGGGGTTATCTCTGGTGAAGGACTGCAGTGACTCTGGGCTTGCTTGGCATGCAATTTGATTTTCCTGCTGTCAGGGAAGCAGGCCTTGGAAAAGAAGGGAGTGCAAGTATTTTGGTCACTATTTTAATACACCTTGGGAGATAGACTTGCCTCAAGTTTCTTATCTCATGGTAAAAACATGGTACCACAACAGGCCTCCATTGGTGTGTTTGTCAACCGCAGCCAAAAAGTCACAGTTCTGCAGGACAAAGCAAGCAGTTGGTGCTAAAGTAATCTTTGCCCGTGTCTTTTACCACTTCTAGCATGGTCAGGAATATTGCTATACTAGCAGGAGGCTGGCTCTTAGCTATTCTATACACACAGTTTCAGACCTTGATATTCTCAGCACTATTCATTAAAAAGGATTTGTATTTAAGACTTGATCTTTCCTGGGATGTATGTATAGTTTATACATATTATTTATAATTCATTAATGCTCTTCGTATGATAAACTGAGGAGAAAGAATGCAGTTTCCTTGTTAGGACATGTTATGGTGGCTGAATGAAAAGAGGTCTGTAAAAGGCTAAGCAAGCAACAGATCAAGCGTTTCGCATTGAAATGAAAAGCTGGATCTGATGATTTAATGGTTTTTTTTTTTGTTTGCATTTTTGGTGGTTTTTGTTTTTTTTTTTTTTTTTTTTTTGCTTTGGATCTGTCATTACATTTGAGCCTGTACAAGACAGTTACTGTTAACTGGATTTCAATGCAGAAAAAGTAAAGAGACAAGTTTGTATAATTTATTATTTTTTTTAACAAACGATGGTAAATCCATTATAAATACTTCATTTTCTTTATGTCATTGTAAAGGGTAAAAACTGACAGAAGTCATTTGTTGAAAGAATGTTTTTCTGCAGAGAAGGGAGTTGTAATAAACACTGCAATTACTGGGAAGCCTTTTTAAGAATCCAGGCCATACTTCTAGGTCAAGTCCAGGAAGTGACAGAAGGACAAGCTATGTGCTGTTTCATCTTGACTTTCATCTTCCTGATGTTCAGGCAAAAATCAGAATCCTCTGTACTCACATAAACTCACTGCAAAATGCATTGTGGGATTTAAAATGCGACTGGATGTGAGGAGCTGTGTGCTCCATACTCACTAAGAACCAGAGACTGAATAGCAGGGTGTTCTTATTCTTTTTTTCCTCTGTCATTTGAGTTTCCTTTCATTCAGATTTAATCCTTTCCAAAACATAGGGCTAACTTCTATCTTTTAAAGCAAATCTGGAAGAAATGACATTTCTGGCATTACCTACCTATTAATTTATGTACTAGCCAGTTTGAAATGCATAGAAGATGCCCGAGCACTATCCTTTCATTCTGAATGGACTTGCACTCACTTTGCATCTCCCACAGCAAGCTGCTCAGAGGAGCTGGGCACACAGCCCAGGGGAAAGGATCCCTGGCTCCCCTTCTGAGAGGGTGCTGCCCTTTAGAAAGGAACCTGGGGCCAGAGGGGTGCCAGGGGAGTAGGAGGGAGGGCAAAAGACAGAGGACAATGAGATACAGTGTACTCATTGAAAACAAGCAAACAAACGAACAAAAAAATACACTCTTATTTGCTACATATGATACTTCAGAGAATCAAATCATAGAAGTTAAGCAAAATCTTTAGAAACAGCCTCTACAAAGTTTGGTGCTGACATTAAGATACCAATTGTACAAATGATGGTGAAGACTGAAAATGCCATCAAGCAGAGCCGATCTACTACAGAGGCTGCAAACTTCCATTCGTTGCAAATGGCTTCTTCTTCATCCTGGTCTCTGAACCGGTTTGCAATGTATCTGACCTCTTCCAGGATCTTAGCCAAATCTGGGTCGCCTTCAGAGGGGTGGCCACTGTGCAGAAGATTTTCTTCCTCTGTTGGTGAACAGGTCATCCTCCCACAGATCACCCCTGAATCAGTAGTGGGTGTGCAGTGAACCCCATCCAGCCCTCGAAACCCAATATACAGCATATTCCCATTACTGCACTGCTGACCACTCACAGTGTTCATCTCCACGCTTGACAGGCTGCATCGGCGCTGTTTATGTTGACAGGCAGGACGCACTTTATCTTCCCCTGGCCTCTTCATCCTCAGAAACCAAGCACACCAATTCAGAAGGATGACTCTTGTCTGGAAGAAAATTACAGACAATAAGCACCTCTTGACACAGCTGCTGTCTTTGGTAGCTCTTTGTGTTTCTGTAGCCTTAGTTACCCTCAGGTTCCTGGTCTCTGTTTAGTCTGAGCTGAAGTTTTAGAAAATGTTGCAGTGTTTTTCCAGATGGTTACTTTGCCACTCACTGAGGCTGCTTTCTTAGTCCAGCAGTGCTGTGGGCTGCCTCAGGCTGGCTGTCGCTGCAGAGAGTGCCTCTCTGCTGGGAGTCTCCATTGATTTTTCCCATGCTAAAGCAGCACTATGGCAGTCTTTTCTACCTTTACTATAAACAGTGAATAAATAAAAAACGCTTATCGAATAAGTTATTTGTTGAATAGTCTCAGTAGCTCTGCTTTAGACAATTAGCAAATTAAAGCACAAATATGAATGAAAGAACTGTAACATTAAATCCATATGGCATTACTGCTCGGAGGAGTAGTAAGACAGATGCTGTGCAGGGCTGGAATAGACCATTAACCTGTGCAGTGTTTTGGCTCTGTTCTCATATTACTTTCATGACAGTTGACTGTAGATTTTAGAAAACAAATCTGTATGTAACATGGAGAAAAAGTGGAAAAATTACTTTGATCTAAAAAAAAAATTATGCAAATTTAATTAGTGTGTATCATTTTATTGTTTTCCACATTGCCTTATTCCAGCCATACAGAAACTGCAGACAAGCAGTTTCTGATTTAGATTCAAGCTTCCATTATTTATTTCAATCAGATTTTAAGAGCTCATTCCAGTGTTTCTTTTCCAGACCAGTAATGAAATATTATTGCCTTATATAATATACAAATCTTGCACTGTAATTAATATTAGATTTGTTCCATTTATTCTGACTGCGAATTACTACTTAGAGAAGATGTTATATCCAGGCAAACATTCCAATTAAATATAGATTTTGTCTTGTTACTCTTTCTCTGCTATTGTGCCTCGCCTAGAAAGATAATAATTTATTAACTGACAGCCTGGTGCAGAACAGCAGTATCCAAATAAATTCCAGTGGACTTCAGCTTCTCAACCCCAGAGTACCTCCAGTGCTGTTTTCTGGTGGTTGACTCAGCACTGCAGATTTCTCTCTTCAGCCATCACTCTAGAGATACATACCTTTCATTCTCTTCATTCAAAGTTATTTTAAAGTCACCTCCCCAGAACAGACCAGAGAATATCTCATCACTTCTTGTCTGCAGAACTCTACTCTGTGCACTTTATCACTTTATCTTTTTTTTTTTTTTTTTTTTTTTTTGTTAGTAGGGATAATAACTGGAAGTTCTAGAGAGATTAAAAGAAGAGGTCCTTCCACCTTCACTAGGTCTTCAGGCTGCTGTAAGTTTTTGGGCAGTAAGACGAGATGGTTAGCTGATACTCATCAATAATTAGCAACCCCAAGATGGAGACTGATGATCTCTGCAAAGACAACTGCTTATAGAACGACGTCCCTAAATAGAATCGTAGAATCTTTAGGGTTGGAAAAGATCTCTGAGTCTAACCGTACCCGTGGATCACTCTTAGAAAAACACTTCAGTTTTCTTCTGTGCTTTACAGATGCTTGCAACGAGAGATGTGAAGATCAGAATTTTCAGAGGATCTTTCACTTCAGCAGCCATCTTTAACAAGAGTGCTGTAGGCAACTGTTTGTCAGTTCTGTCACATCAGCTAATTTGCAGTGGCTGCACCTTTATGCTAGTCTATTCCAGGCATTTGTAATCTCCACCAGCACCCTGCTCTTTCCTTCTACCTGTTTCATTTCTGACATTTGCAGCTTATTTGAAAATCATATTCATTTATGCATTTAGGGTCCAGCAAAATGCTGAGGTGCTTCTAGCTGTTGTAAAGAAGATTTGGATTATAGAATGAGTAGTAAGATGAATAAATTTATGTTCTCTCACTCTCTCAGAAGAAAGGTATCTGGATGCATCATTTCTGGTGAAACTGCCTTTCAAAACAAAATGTTTAACAAGGATATCTGCACAGATTTTTACTTAGCCATAAGTAGTGCAAATGAATCGCTAGCTAATGTGTCTCTGATCCTGACATTCATGCAATAGACAGACCATTAAAATCAAACCTTACCCATTTAGGCATTTTTCCCCCATCTGGATCATGATGATGGTATTGTAGAACGATGACAGTGACAACAACAGAGAGGCCAACAATAATCATGGTGCTGGCAAAATACTGAGCTGCAAAATAAACAGTGAATTATAGCGGTATATTTTGGCAGATGTAGTTTTATATCTATGATAAGCAGTGTTTATGTACACAAATGTAACATGAAGTTATTTTTCCAATGTAGTGCTATATGTGTGACATCAGGTACTGGTGAAAGATTTCTCAAAAGCAGACAGCAGCTGTTTTCAGAGGGCAGTCAACCTTCAGTAATGGTCTCAGTGGAACCGAGCACCTGCCTTTCCTAAGCAACACTGACAAAGTGGTGCTCTTATTTTTTTTCATCAATAGCTTAGAGATTTGTTGCATCTCTTTTTAAAAGTTTCTGCTTCCCTTTGAGCCTCATGTCTCACTAGCAGTGTCTCAGCTGCAGCGTCTATGGGAAACTGACTCCCATACACTCTCCAAAAATGAGATGTCACTTCTCTCTTTACTTTGCTCAGACCAGACAGCACTGAAGTTGTACAGAGCATCACATATATGAGACATTCTTCAACCAGCAACACATGCTGTCTTACACTGAGGAAAGGTAGGCCACTTGGGAGTCCTGTTGGAGGGCTGCCAATCCTCTGCTGCAGCCCTGCGGCCACGCTCAGTGTCCCATCCCCTCTCCAAGTCTCTGAGGCTCTTTGCAAGCTCTGGCTATGCTGCTTTTGCTGGTGGTGGTGTTCCTTCCTGCAGTGTGTCTCTGCCTCGCTCCCCACACTGAGGGGCCAGGCACCTTCTGTCCCTGAGGAAGTCACTGCTGCACACTCACGCACAGTCAATCCTGAGCACTGTTTTCTATTTCAATTGCAGCAGGCCATTCTACACGTAGTTTGCTTTACTGCTGGGTTTCATGCAAAGTCACTGCTTCTCATTTGATGTAAAATAAAAGTGATTAAAGCTGCAATTAGCTTACCAATTAAGGGCACGGAATCAGATGTTGCTGGCATAATTTCAGCCACGAGTAACATGAAGACAGTGAGAGACAATAAAACTGTTATACCTGAAAAACAAATGTGAAGTACGAAAGCAGGTCAGTAGCTTGTAAGGCAGCAAGTGGCAGCAAGTGAACATGAGATAGTGTGCTCTGCAGACAGCTGTATTCCTACCGTGCCCCTGGCCAGCAGCGCTGGTGCTCCTGCCCTGACGGCCACAGGGTCAGGGTGGCAGGGTGACGAAGCTGGTGCCAGTGCTGGCCCAGGAATGGCCACTGTGACTAGCAAAGTTTTGATGTACTCTCAATTTTCTGAACTTGCATGGGTGTGTGTATTTTTGGATCCTTGTAACTGTTCAGCTTTTATCACTATTTGCTAATTAGCTGAGGTGAATCAAAGTACTTCTTGTTCCTCATTTCCTTTAGAAACATGATGTGATTTGTGGTATTTGAGCTTATGAGACTTCATTAATTGGTGTGGAAGCTACAGGTAGTGTACTACATAAGATTCCTGAAAAAGAATTTGCTTTGTTATATTGGATGGACTTGGACATTTTTCAGTACTGGTGGCTGGGTTCTGCATGTGGCTGTGTGCAAAGATGTGACTGCTGATTTTTCATTAGTCCCCATCTCTCAGAACAGGGCTCTTTCTATTCTCAGGACTCATCTAAAACAACAGGGAACCACTGTCAGGTGGAAAAGGATTTAGGGACAAAGAATCCACCTTAAAAATGTGGAGGGAGTTCATGGCTAGGGAGACCACTACTCAGTTTAACTGTTTTCTGGAGAATTGTTCAGCATTTAGCAGCTGCATTCATTTTGTAGAAGCCAGTGTATTTGCAGTGTTGAATGAGGCAAAATGTTTCATTGCATATCTAACCACCATCTTAAGGATCAAGTATCTAAACTCATCAGACTTCTTTCACAAGCCAGTAATTTAGTTTTAAATTGCTATTAAAAATAGAATGTAGCAGTTACATGGAATCAGTCTTTCTGAGCATGCAAAAAGTAATCCTAGGCTCTTAACATGACTCGTATTAAAAGGAACCATTAAGAAGAATGCCACATTGAGGTGCTGAAATGCGGATGTGTAAGCTTAAGTTTTAATCAGTGAATGTGGAGTTTTTGCTTCAGCAATTAAACACCAAAAAATGAAACCTTTCTTCTGAGGGATGACAGTTAGGAATCATCATGCTTCTGGTTGGGTGGTGGGAATTTCTACCTTTCACAGCTCTGGTGTCCCCTAAAGCTTGCAGCAAAGGTTTAACACCTTTCTGGTGACACCTGGTCTTCAGGACCACACACAGTAAAAAAAGTTTATGAGCCAGAATAGGACACATAAACTATTCCTCCTTGTTTCCTAACATTGTTCAAAAAGAAATTTTAAAAGGACAACTTTTGGTAACTTCATTTGGTAATATTTACCTAGTGAGATCTTTTCTCCTGAGTCTGCTGGAAGCAGAAAGACTAATAAGGCAAGTGCTGATATCAGTACACAGGGAATAAGAAGGTTGAGTCCGTAGTAGAGAGTCCTGCGTCTCATAGTTACTGTGAACGTTATATCTGGGTATGGTTCTTTACAGCACTCATAAAAGCTCTCAGTTCTCTTCCCAGGAACTCCTGTGTAAAAGGGAAAAGGAAGAACACACAACATTAATGTCAACAGGCTCTATATTATGGAGTGATTGTTTTAGAAATAGATAAATTTAGCTTTGTCAGCCTTGCTAGGGGTAAAGCTGCTTCTTCAAATTTAATTCCAAAATTAGTCATTTTTATCAGGTAATAATGGAAAAATAGATAAAAATGTATACTGAATTCAAGCTCACTTTTTAATGTTGTTTCTCATCTTAAGTCTGTTCCCACAGCTTTAACCACCACCAGCATGGTCATTTATTAATCTAATTTCTGTCTTCATTTCTCAATTGTTATTCTGCCCATTTCAGCAGTGAACTGCTGACAAGGCTGCAAGTTCAGAGTGTAAGCAAATAATGAAGAGCTTACCTACTAAATCCCACTCTCCGTTTGAAATATAGCCGGATATATCTGCTTCTTGCATTTGTAAGTCTAAGGACCAGCCTCCATATGTCCAAGAGCCAAACTTCAGGTTACACTTCTGAACATCAAATGGAAACCAGCGCACATCTATGTAGCACGAGCTTTTAAATATGCCTAGATTGGATTTTAAACAAGAACACTAAATTGAAATGCTCGTTCCACGAAATTTCATGTCTCTTCTGTAACCTGATCTTGTTCTACGTTGCCTCTTTTGGCATTCACTTGTAAAGCATGCTTAATCTCAGCAGTGTCTCCAGATGTGAAAAGCAAAAGTCAGTTACAGAAAAGGGAAAGAACTGCACTATTAATGTTTGCACTATTAATGTGTTCATGTTACAAACTATTTTTGAACTACATTTAGGCATGTAGTAGGAAATGATTCAGAGAAGAGCTCCATTTTCTAGATATTGTGTATTAGAAAGAAATGAGGCAGAGTATGCACAGTGATTCTCTTATTTCTGTTACTGGATAAAATAAGAAGTGAACCCTAATTTGCCTGGAAAGCACTTGGCTCTATTGCCATAGTATCTAAAATTCTGATCAGAGTTAATTCTGAGAATTGTGGTAATTGAGTCGGGGAACAGGAACAGAAATCCACTGGAACACACCCAGAGACTCAGTGATAGAGTTCAGATATCAAAGGACCAAACACAGACTGTGTTCCTTCCAGATTCAAAACCTTTCTGATGGAGTATTCAGTGAGTCATTTCAAATAGATGATATGTCCCATATGATGCTTCTAAGCATCTCGTTATAAAGGTAATGTGCTAGTAGGAGAAACAGCTATGTTAATGAAATACATTTTTATTGAGACACTACCTTTTATTCAATAAACAGTAACTTTTTACATTAAGGGCTTTTATTTTTTATCTTCTTTTATACTTCCATGCTTCTGTAATAGCATGTTATGACAGAATAATTTAAATGACGGCAATAAGAAATCTTCTATGGTGGTTTTCATACAAAAGCATTAACTACATTCAGGATGCATCTAGTTTTAAATCTAGCAGATGATGGCTAGATAAGTAAAATACCGATGAATTTCTGTCAAATTTGAAACCATACCATATATAAGCAGTCTGAGTTATCAGAATTTATGACATGGAAACAGCCTACCTGGTGGCAGATATTGGCAATGTCCCGAAGAATTGACTAAAACATTAGTGTGAAATGTAGCATCAAATCTTTCATCAGCACTAGAACAGGGAAGAAACAAAGTGGGTTATGTGATCTTCGGCTCAAAATATCTGAGAAGATATTTCTTCTTCATAAAAAGATTCCTTCTCCCCAAAATAAAGCTTGTCAGCTCTACTCCTGGCACCAGTTTTCTGTGGCCTCAGGGTAAGTGCCTTAATACTATCGGACTTGTTCCTGATTAACAGCTTAAGCGGAGGTGAATCACCTCATTCCCTCTGCTCATTTACCCTGTGGGATTTGCTACAGTGCCATGGCTCTATCGATTTCCATTTGGATAGTAAGCACTTTTAAAAAACTTCTCAGGCAATTGTACAGGGAAATCTGTTCTCTTGCAGTTTACATTTAGCAGCGGTCCTTCTTGGGCTTTCATTTGTGCGAGAGAGAGCAAGGTGAGATATCTACCTTGCAGGGATGGTGGGAGCAGGAGGGCACCGAGCCCACAGCTGCGCACACATGAATGCGCACACGGACATCGCGGTCCGGCTCCATGCTGCAGCCAGAGCACGTGCGGAGCCAAAGGCCTGTGCTGGAGCTGTGTGACAATGGCAGGTGTCAGGTCAGCCCAGCAGTGGCTGCTACCTTATCACTGCCTAATCACCTTGTAAAGCATTGCCAGAAAAATATGGTGAGAATCTGAGATGGGGAGAAAGTGAAATGTTCATGATTCAAGCAAAAAAGTAAGTATAGTAAGGGGAATCTTCTTCCAGTAGCATAGCAGGCCCTATTGACTTATTATCAGTCAATAAATAAATAAATAAATAAAATAAAAAATTGACCTACTCTGATACAAAATTATGTATCTTAAAGGCCCATCTTAGTCATTATCTTAGTCTTTGTCACTTTACATTTCGCCTTCTGTATTTCAAACAAATTACATGTATAAGATATCTGGACTGATCTGTGAAATATGCAGACAAGAAAAGCTATATCCAAACAATTACTTGCCTATCTGGAATTGCATTTTTTCCAGTGGTGAGTAGAAGGTTTGCAGTATTGAAAGTCATCAGTGTCTTTGCAACTGTTTAATTTGAAGTATGAAGATGAGATGAAGAGTTTAAATATTGAATATGTAATGTGAATGGATCCCAGGGAAAAAGGCAAATCAGTTCTTGTCAATGCAAGGAATGCAGGCCACTCTCCTTCAGCTTCACAGCTCATGGCTGGATTCTCCGATGCTTAACAGACTGAGCTTGTGTTGCAGCTTCTCTTCTGGCTGGAGCACTAAATGTCCTCCCTCCTCAACTTGGTTGCCCATTTTCATGACATTTGTAAGGAACTGGTACTGACTGGTACTGCTAAGATGTCTTCTCACTGCACCGCCAAATTTTGCAGGAATGGTTTCAAATGACACTGGAAGAAGGGGCGGCAAGAAGAATCACACACAGACAGGTGTGCATGCATGCATACACTCCAATTGCATAATTCTTGTTTCCTTAGGAAATCAGACTTCTGCAACAGGTCTCTATATTGGATGTAGACACGTATTTACAGTAATTCAAATTTAATAAGGGCTACACTATGAAAATCAAGCCACATACTCAAATTTATGGAAAATATCCATGCTGAACAAATTGCTTCCAAGTGGAAAGCAATATCTAGAAATAAAATTCTTAGTTTCCCAGGTTAGATTCGAGTCATTTTCCCTCAAGCAAAGGTCTTAGAAGCCCAGAAGTTGCTTTGAGGACCTTGCAGTTTGTTGTTCCTGGTCATTTGTAAATGTAACATTTAAAAAATGAACACAGAAGTGAACAAGGAACCTAGGTTTCATTGCCATATGTTTGGGTTTTAATAAGAAATATCTTTAAAAGAACATCAAAAGATATTTAGACTCAATATTTCCTGAAAATATTTTTTCTTCAGAAAAAGGAGCGTATGGTTTTCTACACTGAGCTTCTGATTGTTTTCTGAAATGCAGTGCTTCAACTGGGATTATGCTAAGAAGGAAAGCCTTTGCTTGATGAGATTTTGTACTTTAATGTAATAATAGAAAATTATTTCTGCTACGTTTCTTTTTCAAGTATAACGACTTGAAGAAAGCTATAGACTGTGAGACATTGAGATGACACAGCTACACTTACTAGACACAATTCCACTGAGACTTATCTGGAGAATCTCAGGTTTATAAAAGAGGAAAAATGAAACTGAGACATAGCTACCAGAATGTTCATTATTCCATGAACTCACGAGCACTGTGTGGCCACTTGAAAAATAATACCACCAGAAATAAGAACTTCTAATAAATGTAGTAAAACTAGCAAAGTGGAAGAGGGCCAGACACAACACTAGCGCAGCCGGTCCTGCAATCATTTGTACACAGGCCAAGATTCACTTCCCTCAAAAAACCCACAGATGAACTGGGCTCAGTCTGTTTACAATAGGTGGGTAATAAAGGCAGTATAGCTGCTGGTTTTCCAGGTGTTCAGTTCTAATTGTGTAATGTGCTTCAGCTACAGTTAGCATGGTTGCGTGAATATTATGAAATGTAGTTGAAAATTGCTAAAATCACACTTTAATTTTACACATACTGGAATGTTGACGCATAAATCGTCAGATGCACTGAAAGCCTCTCAGGTAGGTCGTATGTGTGATGCCTTCCTCTGGAAACTTCTAGACTGCTGTTGTAGAGCACCAGCTGTATGGCACACCCAGTGCTTTACTGAGAAAGAGAAAAGGACTGAGAAAAGGACTGATGTGTGGGACTTTCCCAAGAATGCTGTCATTTATGAAATCAAGCCAGATAGGAAAAGATACTCAAAATAACAAATTTGCAGTGAAAAATACATTAAGCAAGGTCAGTGTTGCAGATATATGTGTTCAGGAGTACACAGCACGTGTACTGTTTATGTACAGAGCATTATTCACCTGGTGTATGGACAACTGAAGCACTAATTGCAGTGCTTGAACCAGAAACAAGAAGTGATTCTGACAGGCACTCACAGTGTGGGGAACTTGAGTAGAGCTCCCCTCAAATCACTTAGTGGTAATTGTACCTTTGGGAGAGGCGCAGATGCATGCTGTAAGCAAAGCAGTCATGTAAGCCCTGGGGAGAAGTATGCTGTCAAACGCTGTCATTGTGTGCTGTTGTCACAGCATTGCAATTCACAACAGCTGTGACAGTGACATTAACCACAAAGGTGATCAGTAAGTGGCAGAGGGACAGCACAGCTGCAGCTGACAGGCCGAGTCCTGCTACTGTATGGGTGTTGCTGCAACAAGAGGCAGCTCCTGCCACACAGAGGGGGAACTGGGGTGATGCTCAGCACAAGGGTGTCTTCTGGGCATATGGCAGAGACACAGAGGAAGACAAAAGGTTCCTGTCACCTGCATGGGCAAATATATAACCAAGTGCCTGTCTTCCACAAAAGAACCAGTGGAGCATGTACAAAGCAGATGGCCTTTCCAGTATCTGGGGAACTGCAAGAAGGCATATCATAACAGCAGAAAAGGACAACTTGTTAAAGAGCAGACGTCTTCCAGTGCTTTAACAGTACAGTTCTGATAGGAAAGGAGACTCCCCAGCAGCCCCTGCATGGAGATACACTTCTGAAGAGAGATGCCAGAAATCAGTGCTCGCTCACTGACCTGCAAGCTGCTTGCTCCAACTTTGCACTGGCATTTCATCTGTGTGGTTATATCTATGCCTATGATCTCTATAAGGGTTGTTTGAGCATTCAGATAGGAGACTGCAGTGCTGTACGTGTACAGTGTACACTGACCAAAGCCTCCGAGAGAGGCAGAAATGGCCTTTCATCTTGAGACAACAGACAGCAGGAAACTGGGGTGTCAGCAAGTGAATTTTTTGAAATATAATGTATGCATAGGCAGGTCTTGTTTAATCTGGGCCTGTTGGAGATGAAGAACTTAATGCTTTTCCTTGGGGCTTCCTCTCGCAATTGCTTAGTATAGAATAATTAAAACCAAGAAGACCATTTGCTCTTCAAAATTCAGACTGCCCTAGTATATGCCTAGTATATGCCCTAGTATAGGCACACCCAGAGGTCTTGCTTATTAGCAGCAAAGTGTGAAGAGTTACAGTGCAAGCAAACAATTCATTGTCTAATTGCGAGGGACATAAGGAAAATTGATTTAGATTCCTTACTGATTCATCTTAAAGGAAACAGTGAAGGAAAATTGATTCAGATTCATTACTGTTTCATCTTATAGGAAACACTGGGTGCAATGTTTCTTTAGCAGTTTGAAGGTATTATTGAAGTCAGATTTGAAGTCATTGTTAACATTTAGATTAAAAAAAAAAAAATCTCAAGAGAAAATTATCACTATCTGTATTACTATAGGTAGCTAGAACAATCTGGTTTTCTAATCATCACATAGAATCTAATGAGAATTGGTGGTAGGGAAGGTGTTGTTATTCACTGAGTACTTGCAAATATCATCTTCCATTGTGTAAACAAGAGAATGGTTATTTTCTAGCATTTCAAATGCTCAGAGCCTAGCCATTTTGATTAGATGGCTATGTCATTTGTCTTATCTTCTCTCCTTCCCCACAGGAAAATAAAAGTATTTCCACCTGTTATAGAGAAGAATATCTGGCTTCCAAATCAGTCCATCAGGAAAGCGGACGTTCTTCACTCCAGGGTATTCAGACACATTCCACTGTAAGTAATGATCTGTCCAGTACTAAGACATATAGACAGAAAGTAAGTTAGATTAGCTTATTCATTGCTTTACTGTAGCTCTCCAGACTATACAGCCTGAAACAATACATGCTTTCTTGTTCAGATTATTATTTAGATTCAGACAATGAAAAACTTGGAAAGGGTGAATAGGCCACCAAGAGCTCACTCAAAAGCATAATAATCTCATTTTCAATTCACACTGCAATGCATATGTAACAGCCTATAAAAGAAGATTTGAGATGCCTCTATTTTATTGTTCATGCTGTCTCAGGTAGCAAGTTGGGACACAACAGGTTTTGTTTTATAATTCATACTTTACTTCAATTACATTTTTTTCTTCAGACACAATTTTGTTTTCTGTGTTTGTGAATTCTTACACTGTAATAACTTGATTACAGATGTGTGGTAGAGCAGCCAACAGACTGCTGATAGGGTAAAGCAATGGAAATGGTTGAGTAGTTAACACTAGCAGCTCCTGTAGCCTGAGGTTAGCCAACCTGTGAAGCAGTGCCCAGCAGCTGCTGCAGAAGCTCCCTTCCCACTGGCACTTCCTGCGCTGCAGGCTGCTGCCCTGGTGGCAGTATGACTATCAATATAGGCATAGATTCTGGTGTGGTCAATCCAACAGGGTTTAGATCTGGGTTTCTTGGTATGTGCTTCCAGGTATTTCTCATTTTTTACTAACAGCTTTTAACTCCTTGTCACCTGGACAAATCACCAGCATTGTGAATTGTTTTTCTTCCTTTTGCTCTCCAAATAGTAGTTTTTACAGAGATCTTCAATATCTCTGCTCTTAGCTTTTTCTTTTCACTAACTACAAACTGTGAGTCTTATTCATGCCCATCTACACACATCTCCTATGAACTGATCGATGGCTTCTCATCTATTTTTTCAGGATTTTTACTTCCACTTTTACCTTATATTATTTTATACTGAACTTTTACCACTTCATCTTGTGTAGAATTTAGAAATATCAAGATCCTCATGATACTTTCATTTATTTATTTTACCAGTAGTGTAAGCCATTTGAAGTGTGTTTTGAGCTGTCCTGTTTAAATCTGTGGGCTCTCGTTGGCTTTGGGTTACTCTTCTTCAGTAGCTGTCAGAACAAATCACTTTCTGACTAGTAGGCTCCTGGCTGGGGCTGTGGGGCCATGGAGGAGCTGCTCAGCCCACTGGCCTCCCACCCAGGTTGACTGCCATCTGAACTGTGCTACAGTAATGCCAATATATTCAGTTATTTCTGATTATAACAACTTCTAGCAATTATAGTGGCTAGTATGGTAGAGCACACAGCACTACTGAATGCTGTAAAGATAGTCCAAAGGGTGACAGCAAACTTATGTTTGAAGTCTGGATTATAAATTATGCTAAACAGATTGGGACTGCTCCATTTTGCCAACTTCTACAGTTTCTCATCAAGCTGGATGTGAGCTGTCCAATTTTGTTTTAACTTTGGAGCTACTGTTTCCACTGTAGCTAAAGCATGTTTGATACAGACTAGAAAAGCAAGCACCTGAGAGTATTTGGTTTAATATTAATCTGTGTGACTAGGCAAGGCTCCTGCTGAAACCTGGATACGTTTAAGATTTTGATACTGACCAGTATTGTCATGTAGATAGAGCCAACAATCGAAGAGTCTGTATATAAACTAGATTATTCTCCCTTCTCCCAGGTTAGTTTTTCATACTTTGGTATTCCTGTGACGACTAGACAAAACATATTTAATATACATCTCTGACTATACGCATTACATATCAAAACAGGGAGTGAAGATGAATATACAGGGAAAAACTTCTCCATTTATCAAAATAAAATGTTATGTTTGCCATAAGTATGCTTTGAATCTGTGTAGCATACAGTGAATATAGAAACACTTGGTTGGGGTTTTTTTGTTGTTTTTTTTTTAATGTGTAAACAGGCCATGATGAGTGACTACATCACACGATCTGCTCATTGTGACCACAACATGCTCCTCATACAGTAAATGAAAAAAATCAAAAGAAATACAGTTAACATACGTTAAAAAAAAAAGGAGAATTTCCTTAGGGGGAAAAAACAAAGTCTCAGGAAGGATAAGGAGAGGGAAATAATTGATAGCTTCTTGAGTATGAATGGTCACTTTTTTTCCTGGTAAGTAATTACAGCAACTGTTTTTGTTACAAGTCAAAGCCAAAAATACGTTATGTTTGACAGTTTTAACCTTACTTTTAAATAAGCCTCTAAAATAGCACGATCTGAGTGCCTCTTCCAAGTCAACTCTTCTTTGTGAACAAAAGGAATAGCCACACTATTTTTTCTAGGTCATCCAAATAGTCTTTCATTTCTTTCCTGAGGCCTACCACTGAGTGGGAGAGATCCTCCATTAAAGTGTTACAGTCAAAGGAAAAATAATATATTTAGACTAAGTGATCTAATTAAAGAAACAGAAAGATGTGAAGTTTCTGCTGAAGCAGCATGCTTGTCTTGAAAAATGCAACTCTTCTGTAAAGCTTTACTTAGCCCATGCAGTTCTGTTTCTGTAAGATGGGAACGAAATGACAGATCTCATCCTGGCCTCTGCAGTGTGGGAAAAACTGCCATGTTGTATCTCATCTTTGTGAAACACAGACTGTGGTAGAAATTGTGGTTAGGAGACCAGTAGTCAGTATGGTAAGAGGCATCTTTTTAATTCTAAATCTTAGGTGGTAAACCAATTCCAAAACTGATCCTATCAGAATAAATCCGTGTAGTCTCCTTTGCTTAGGAGCGACCCCTCACTAATTCATCTTAAAGAAAAAAAAATTCAAATACTTTTACAGAGATCTTGACTGTTCCATTTATTAAAAAGTGATTAACATTCCTTCCCAGTAATGTCAGCTTTGAGTTAATGGGGGCAAAGTTCTCTGCTGTGCCATCTATGGCAGTAATAGAGGTATGTTAAGTCTGAAAAGCCTCCGACAACTGTAGAAAGTAAACACTGCAACAAAAGGTAAAACAAAGCTACTGCTTGAAAAACAAACACCATATGTATGCAAAATAAACAGGGAAACAAGGAAAAATACAGTGCTCACAGCTGAACGTTGGGAAACTGAAGGTATGTTCAAATACACATTGTCATACAACTGAGAAATGGAATTTGGAGCAATATCATTAAAAATTCTCATTTTCACAGTAAAAATAAGATGATAATTTATATTTAAAAAACAGTATTTTGTGGAACATGAGAACAGCATGTCCATTTTAATTAAAATCTTCCTGCGGTTTCTTATGGAGACAGATTGAAAGAAAAGCAAACAGGACAGCAGAGGCATTCAGGTAGGATAACAGCAGCAGGTAGCATGAAATAATCCATCTCTTTGGAATGCCTGGTGATTTTCAGAATTCTGATCACAACAGATGAAATGCATTTCACACATGTATAGTTCTTTCTCACAAATAAATGATTTACCACAATGTAATGGATTTGTTGAAGTGGGTGATAAGGAACTTGCACCATCCTGGAACTCTGGGTATCTCGTGATGATTAATCTAGAGTGGCTTAAATCGGCTAAGGTGAGTTTGTAACCCACCCAGCTGTGGTGACTCAGCTTCTTATAAAGTTTTCAGAAATGTCCAAAACAGCATCAGGCCCTAAATCTCAGCTCTGCAGGCTGCCATTCACCTTAGCTTTGTGCACTGTGCAGTGACACACAGAACAGAAGCATGGAAGCTTCCTAAAATTTATACCTGCACCAGATTAAATGCAAAGAACAAAGGAAGAAAAAACATGCTTTGTTCCTCAGAACTCACCATTTGTAGCCAGATGTTTGTTGTTAATACTTGATTCTTTTCATCCTGGAGAGAAGAAAATAAACCAGCTTAGTGTCATATGGATAACGCTAGTAGATATATATGAGTGTTATGAAATAGTTGTACTAAGGTACCTCTTAAAACAAAGGGAATTACTGCCTCTACCTTACTGCATAGGAAGTGTTCACAGGTACTCTTAACGCACTGTGTATTACTGCTGTCAGTCAAGTTGTTACTGGAGGGTATCCTTCTGCCAGGTTCTTCCCTGGGGCTCCTTCTTTAATAATGTATCTCAAAAGACAAAACAGATTATAGCAAAGGTTGCTTGTTCCACCTTTGCTTAGGAGTAGCCCTCTCCCTAATTAACCTCACACACCAGACATACACAGACCATAGAAACTGCATTGGACAATTAACAGTGACTAAGCTCAGTGATGTGTGTTGAGGCCACATCCAGTGGCTTCTTAACAGGCAGCTGTAGCACGACTGATTTTAGTGGAATGATACAAGGAAATGCTGTGTCACAGCTTTACAAGAAAGGATTTGCAGGGCAGAATGTTATTACTGTGCCTGAAAGTTGCCATATTCACATGGCCTTCCCCCTTGCTTCCTATAACTATCTGATGCAAGCTCAAGGGACAGAACGGCATTTTAAATGCTGCAGTTAATTAAGAAGATTAATTCTTCATTTCTCAAACACAGGAAAATGTTGGTGACCTCATTTCTCTAGAGGTACCAGCAATTACTCATCCCTCAGTCATCCTCCCATCATCAGTATCCACCTGGGTTTTGTGAAGCACATACTGTCAGTACTGGGCACTCTGAGCTGAATGCGCAGTCCCTGTCCCAGCAACAGCCAGAGCTTCAGGCAAAGGAAGGGTGGCAGCCAAGTGTGGGTCATCTGTACAGCAGGAGCTGTCAGAGCTGTTGTGCATCCAGAGCTCTGAATTCACAGCTACAACTCCTGAACTTAAATATTGTTCCTAAATGACCTTATATGGCTAAAAAGGATTTAATCACATTTCATACCATCTTACTACTCTTTACTAAATATAAACAAATGCTCTTCTTCTTGTTTAGTGAACAAATCCAATGAAAGTTCTGAAAGACATTTAATTGAAGTGGTATTAGATTAACACAATAGTAAAATTAAACAGTGCAAGGGACAGTTTCAGACAACTGGAGCCTTTTGAAAAGCAGCATCATTAAGTGCACATCAGTGTTAGTAGGTCATATGTGATCAGAACTAAATGTACAAGATGCAGACAAATAACAAAATGGTTAGGTAGAGTTTGGTATTGTGCTGGATATTATCTCGTGCCATTTAAATGGCATCCTGGGGAAACAGGGCTCTTTAACCCTTTAGTACAAGAAATGTATTATGGTGCATGAAATAACATGCTGCAGGCACGGCTGAAGATGTCAGCCAGGCAAAGTAGTAACTAATTTGTAATAGTATCTGTTATTTGCTAGCCATATAAACGTTAATTTGATGCCTCTCTCAGTAACCTGCATATGTTGTAACCACAACAAAGCTAGTTTAGGTCTGTTGCTCTGAATGTAATGCCTCCTATTTGTTCCCATGGAAACTATAACAGATAAAAAGAACACAATAGCACTATTTCATAAAGCATATTACCAGTTCCAAACATCCTTTTTTAGCATAGCGACCACCATTAGCAATGCATTTTCACCAGCCATGAACAAGAAGCCTGCATGCTGTGCTCATAAGAATCTGTACTGGTGGAGGTGCCCCATTGTCACTGCCATCACTGCAGAAACACACCGCCCATTGCCTCACTGTGCTCCATCCACTGCTTGGGCTCCATCAACGTTCTGCAGATGTCAGTGAATTTCACTGGGTGCCATTTTATTCACATAGAGAAATTCAGTTCCATCCCTTTGCTTCATCTGCACTTCCATGTCAGACACCATTCTGTCAGACTGCCCCTCTACTGCTAGCACCACTAATGCTAACTTATTTAAAGTTCAATAGCATTTTCTCAAGGCTCTGTGTGCTGTCCCAGACAAACATGCCCATTCCTCTGATGCGATGTCCCACCTGTTACACCTGCGCTACACTGATGGCACTGCTGCTGTGTGCCTTCACTGCAGGACACAGGAGGTTTGTTGCCCTGCACAGGTCTAACTGGCTACATTAAGGTGCAGAGCAATTCAGAATCTATTATGCTGTGGGAAATTCGTTTCAGGACGATTAGCTAAATGGCATGTATTTCTGCATTGTTAAATCCTGAGTTAAACTCACATTTTACTCCCAGTGTGATATCTTTCCACACATGAATGGCTCTAGCCTTAGATAAGTGATGTTTTAAAAATTCCCTTTTGAGTAGCTAGAAAAGACTGTACTAAAGCTGGAGAGCTGCTGATGCTTAAGCTAATGATATGCCATGGGGATTTATTTTGAAGCCCTGAGTCTACAGCGTAGTCAGATGAACTATTTTTGGAATAACAGAAAGGAGCTCTACTATCAACCAGCACACATCACAGAGTATGCTGGAGAGCAATCACTGAGCAGTTAAACCAGTGCAGCTGAAGGGAACAGCAGACCTTAAATCCAGTTGTGCTTCTGGCAGAGTGATTCAGCTGCCTGCTGTGCTGCCAAGGCAGCTGCCACATGGCACAGCATCTCAGGTTTGCCTGCAGGGGTCTCTACAGACGTTTTCTGGGACACTAATCCACCACAAGCCAAGAGTTATTCTGAATAGTAAGCTTCTGCTCAAACCTAACTGAAATTGAGTATCTCAGGAGTACAAACTCAAAGATAACTTTTGCACAGAAGACAAGATGGTCTGTGCTGTTTTCCTGGTGTTTCTTTCTGATATTTTAAACATTTAGGGCTTGAAAGAGTATATAGATGATCAAAGTAGCTCCCATTTGGATCACTGTATTAAATCCTATCACTTCTCCTCAGCTGTAAGAACTTTGCTGCATGCTGAGAGCTGGTTTAGAGTTCTTTTTTCCCAGAACAGATGGCTTCCAGAATCTTGTCATTATCGGATTGACTCGACTATCACTAGAGGAAAGATTCCATCTGAAAGGCTTTCTGTCTGAAAATCCTTTTCTGCAAGCCCAAGAGAAGCTGGTGAAGGGTGGGGCAGGAGACATTCTGCAGGAGTTCTCGTATCTAGGGAAGTTTTTTGGACAGCTTTAAAAGCTTTACAGCAAACTGCATTAACATCAGGTAGTCCAGGTCACTTGGTGTTCAGGTTGTGCTGACAAGCAGCGTAGCTCAGAAGAAGCAAGTCAGGTTCCTTTTGTGCTGCGGGATGTCAGTGCGATGCTGCCTCGCTCTGCTTAATTCATAACTGTAATCATGATCTGTGACGGCAGATGGCAACTGCTTCTGGACTGATTATCACATTATTTAATGGTAGTGTGATTAATGAAAGGGATGTCGCTGGCATAAAAAAGATTTGAATGGTCCTTCACTCTTTTTCATAGGTAGAGGTATCAAAAACATGCTGTACATTTTTGCAGGATTTAGCACTGTCTTTATTCTTTCATTTCCCATCTGATTTCTGTCTGTCTTTTCACTTTAAATAGTCTATCAGACTGATCACCTTAGGGAACACAGTCACATTACCTTACCTTGACCCTATGTTCAACAAAATATGTAAAAGAAAGATACGTGCTTTCTGAAGGCCATTAACCTGGACAACATAAACTTTGTGAGGAATATTATCTGATTACTTTCAAAGGGATGTCAGCACATGTAGCATCCACTGCAGAAAAAAGCAAGGAATAAAATAAAGGAAAAAAAAAGCCTCTGACGCTATAGATTGGCATCTAGATAGCGACAAGCAGCCAGAGGGAAATGCACACTTCGCAGAAGACTTGCATAAAAGGAATTCCTAACTAAAATGTATTAGCAGTAACTTTTGCACTTCAAATCCAATTCCTCATTTAATTTTACTTTGTTGAATGTCACCTAAACCACTGAAAAAGTAAGACCTAGGAAAAAAAAGCTACGTTGCTACTGTCAGCAGGGAGTTTAGCAACAGCAATGTGCAGCTGTGCCTCATGTTCCTGGGTGAAGATGGTTGATGCAGCAGTTTTCAGATCCACCATCGGGGAGCAGCCACACCTACTGTGTCACCTCTTCGAAAACATACAGCTACCTGGGAGCTGTTATCACATTGCCTTCCCTCTCGAAGAGAAGAAATTAAATATTTATTGAACAACAACAACAAAGTATAATTGCTTTATAGCACGGTAATAATACAGGCAGAGAAAAATGCTGAATCTATTTCCTCCCCCGCAGATTTTGAATAATTTTTCTAAACAGAACAACATGAGAAGGAGAAACTGAAAGCACAAGAGGAGTATTAGAGCTGCAGGCCACAGGGCTGTTGGAAAACTGGGGGACAGTAGAACCATCAGCACTAACTGTCGGTTTTGCAACTTAAACTATGAACAACATTCAGTCTGAGTTTGCAAACTGCTTCCAGATGACTGAAATTAATGGTTTTTTTTTCTTTCATGAGAATGAATACATCACAGAAAACTCCTTACTTGTCACTACTTAAGCATTGGAGTCTACTCAGCTCCCCTTGTGTTCTAACCTGCAGGCACACTGAGCGTTTCAGTTTCTCAGGGCCAAGACAGATATTGCATTTCTGGCCATAGGAGGAAGCAACACTGCTGTCCATTGATTAAAATGCTTCTTTGTAGGCACCTTGGGTTTGAGGAGAGAAAATGTTTATAATCGCTGTCTATGTAAAGTCTTGTCTCCCCCACCTTCTATCCATTCCAGGCAATGCTTATAACTCCTTCGTCCCTTTTTTGCAAAACCCTTAGAAAGTTCAGTATTTTCTCTCCCATAAGTTAGCTAAAGATTTTCTACTACTGAGTGAATGAGTACGGTCAAATTTCCTAGAAGTTTCTTTTAAATAAAAGATTTCCTAAGCCCTATTAATCTTTTTTCTTTCTCCCAAAAAGATTCATGTTAAATCTTCAGATTGCATCAGTGTTCTCAATGTTTTGGTCAAGAATTACATACAGCTGTTTTATGGGAACTGCTGGGT